ACCTCTAGAGGCTCAGCATACCAATTCTTTTGAGGATGTTCTTTGAAATATTCAACTTCAACCATAGCATTGTTCACTTTCTTTTTTTTCCTGTCTTTCAAAATAATACACTCATTGTTCAAAAATCTGACTACTTTGACAGGTTTTAGGCAATTATTTGCTGAGCGTACATAAACTCCCACATTTGAGGAACTTTTAATGACCCTTCCATGTACTTGAGCTTCCTTAAATTCTTCTGAAATTCTGAGAACTTTTTCAACTTTTTCATATTTCTTCTCGTAGAACTCAAAGAGGTAGTTGATATCAATTCTATCCAGACTGATTCTTTTGATTGGTGGAAGACAAACTACATCACCTAAGTCACACTTGGACATGTCACCCACTGTACCCACATCATTTGTTTCTAAGAGCTCACCAAACACTTGAAAATTGTCAGGCCACTCCATCTGTTTAAGCTGCAAATCTTTCAGGAATCTCCGCATTAATTGGATACCTGTTGATAGAAAAATGCAAATACACTATATATTACTATTTGTATTTGTTACTAGCATTATCAAATTCATTAAACATTCATAAATGGTATACACAATGTAAAATCATTGCTGTGGCCACATCTTTATATTATGAGAAGAGATTTTTCCTAATTTGAATAAGAATTCAACTTTGATTTTCTCTTTAAAATTATATCTCATCTTGAAGYTTTTAGCATAATATGCTTAGCTGACGTTGGAATTTGATAAACATGCAATATAAAATGCCCATAAAGGTCTCCCGCTCATATTTAGCTGTATTACATGAAATAATAATATATAATTCAGAAATGCAAATTTGCAAGTGTTTCATAGAGTGAGGTTATAACAGAAACCCCTTATGAGTTTCTGGTTATAAGAAAGCTATAATGACAATAATCCTCTATCAGGTATTGATAAAGCACAGGTGATTGTGTTTTTTTTTTTGTTAATTACCTACCTATATTTTGGCTGCTTTTATGATATGAACCAAGTACACCATTGTACCTTTCAAATGAGAAACACCAAAAAGAGTACACTGGCCCATAATCTTCAATACAATCAACAATGTGACAGCTTAGATGCATGTTCGGTGTGCAGGTATCTTTACCGTAGAGACATTTGAATGCTTTGCAGAACTCAATCAATTCTTTTCTAGCTCTAATACAGTCTGCTTTATTCAATGTGTGGCAACATATTGCACGACATGCATTCACAAAATGTAGCCAGACATTATAGTCTCTCTTGGGCAGTATGCCCTTCAAAGCAAATAAGGAGTAGTAGCACACCCAGTTCTTCCATTGATCTGCTGTGAAACCTCCAAAACCTGTTGCAATTTTTGATGGTATTCTTCCAATTTCAGAAGGAGGTTCCACAGCATTGACTCTTTTTTGGATGATTTCTAGATCTTTGTCATTTAGGGCACCTGTTTCTTTCCATAYTTTCATTGTTGTTTTGGCAATACCAAGAAATAAGTTATGCATCGGATCTATAASTACAAAGCGAATGGCATCATAATATGGGAGTTCCAACAATGCAGTATATCTAGCACCAGTATCATGTATAACTTCCTTTAATTTTGCTGGGCTTTTTGCAGCACGTGCTCTCTCAGCATGTATACGATGTAATGCATTAGTTCTCTTTTCCCACTCATCAACATTAAATCCTGAAAAATCCGGTTTTGTACCAAAGGGTCCATCTCGTGGAAATGTTTTGAAGCATTTGTTACATCCTAAAAAGTAAACAACAGAAAAATACAATTATTTTGTGACATAATTTATAACATAATGACATAATTTATTCTTTTTATATTAGTTATTTCTTAGAGTGCTTCCACTGYGACCACGAAATAGAATCTAAATAGTTACTAACAAATAATTTTTATTTAGTGACTATTAGTCACTAGAAGTCACTAGACTAGAGTCATTTTCATACATCTGTGAAATAGGAATTGTACTATTAAATACTATTAGCTCCCAATAGTTTAACTTATGTGATGCAACAAACAAATTAGGCAAACAAATAGTTTCTATTAAACACTGACTAGCAGTAATTGTCTCACAGACTGATAAAAATGACTCTATCATTCGACTGGAACAGTCTTAGTAACAATACATTCTGTACACTTGGGAATCAAATACAAAGGAAACGATACCTTATTAATATGTTATGTAAAAAGATAAATTTAACACCGTAAAAAAGTATGTGGAAAAACTTATTAATATAACTGTTCCAGTTGAGTGATAGCAAGTAATAGTCACTAAATAAGAACTATTAGAATGTAACTTCATGTATTTWGATTTTATTTCATGGACATAGTGTAAGCACTTTCATTGGACTTGCTTTGGACAAGATGACATTGATTTACTAATATATATATTAATATAGGATCATAAATAGAGTGCTTGCACCTAAAGCGTGAAACAAATAGTACTAATTACTACTAAATAGTGTTGATTATACAATAGGAAACAAAGGAATTTGTATAATTTATCACCTATTTTGTAGTATTTATATTTCATGCATTTAGGGCGAGCACTCTAGCTAACAAATTTTAATGATTTCATTTCAGTGTACTGAATGTGTCCCTCTTTATGATTCATAAATGATTGCAGAGAAGAACTGTAACAAAATTTGAAGATACAAATAATTCCTGTTATTGTGTAGAATGTACCTCTGATAAGAAAGAATAATCTTTCATTAACATGAT